CCTGAATTTGCCAGTTTGTTAAATCTTAGTGGCTTTTCCACAGAACGGAAGACATCTCTTTGTCATTGCGGCCCCCAACTCCTGAGCAGGCACTGATTGGGATTGGAGTTTGGGGGCCGTGTGGATTTTAAATAGAACATTTAGGGCAGACCTGATTAAGGAGCGTTAACCACCAAATCGAAGGCCTTTCAGAGTGAGAAGCAACAAGCATTTATTTGAGATCAATAAGAACAGCTGTTGGGAAAGCACTGATTTCAGGCAGAAGCCCAGATAGTGTTCTGATGAGGAGACAAACAAAGGGAACTTATGAGAAAGGGAAGGGGACAGTTACGTCAGTAGAAGGAAGGCGTCGCTATTGGTGCAGGTAACATGACATCGTGATGCTAATTCTAAACAATGTTTTTAATTTTCAGTCTGTTATCTATTAGTCCAGTAGCCACTAAACATCCAAAGGTTTGAGGCATAAACGTGCAAAGCAGTACTGGCTCCAGTACTGGAAGGGCAGCTCTGGCTCCAGTTTCAAATGACTCCACTTATATCGGGACAGGAGTTAACACTGAGGAAGGGTTGAGTTAGACATGGGGAGAAAGGGCGGACTTTGCAGTTCTCAACTCCCTTTCCGGCAAAGACCTAGAGTTGGGATCCTGGCCTGCGGGCAGGTTCTGAGAACTCGGCCAGCGGGCGATGCAGTAAGTGGGTGCTGCGTCTGTCTCCATGACCACTGCTCTGTCTTTGGCACACAGATGGGTTTGTGCGTCGCAAGAAGAAGGCAGCAGCAGCCTCAGCCACCGGAGGGAAAAAGCGATCCAAGTACAGCAAGGACTACACAGAGGGCTGGGTGGAGTTCCGGGACAAGCGAGTAGCCAAGCGTGTGGCCGCCAGCCTTCACAACACGCCCATGGGTGCCCGCAGGCGCAGCCCCTTCCGTTACGACCTATGGAACCTCAAGGTGAGGGGATAGGCTTGTCTGTCGCATCTCCCATCCTCCTACCTTCCCACCCAGCCCAGGCACCTCCTGTTTTCTCTCCATCCTGACCTGTCCTACCCAGACCTTTTCTTGTTTTCCTGTCTGCAGTACCTGCACCGATTCACCTGGTCCCACCTCAGCGAGCATCTTGCCTTTGAGCGCCAGGTGCGCAGGCAGCGCCTGAGAGCAGAAGTTGCCCAGGCCAAGCGTGAGACTGACTTCTATCTGCGCAGTGTGGAGCGAGGGAAGCGCTTCCTTGCCGCTGACGGGGACTCCACCCGCCCGGATGGCTCCTGGACATTTGCCCAGCGTCCTACTGAGCAGGAGCTGAGGGCCCGTAAGGCAGCTCGTCCAGGGGGTCGTGAACGGGCTCGCCTGGCCAATGCTCAGGACCAGGCCCGCTCCAACCGTGGGCTCCTCGCCAGGATCTTTGGAGCCCCACCACCCTCAGAGAGCATGGGAGACCCCAAGGTGGTCAAGGACTCTTGAGGGGCAGGGAGTCCATCTCCTAGCTCAGCCCAGAGTTCTGTCCACCTGATAATGACTACTCAGTCTGAGCTTGTTTCTCAGACTAGGAGTCTAGTGAGTGTCCAGACCTCTTTTTTTTTGGGCCTCTCTTCCCCTCTCCAACTACTGCATGTGCCTGGCAGAAGCACCTAATTCATGCTAGTAGCATGATTATTACTACTACAGATGCCTGTTTTATCTTATCTGATTCTTGGCTGCCTGCCTCCTACCCTTTGGGGACCTCTAAAAATCCCACTTACTGGGCCCAGGAAGAGCCTTGTATCAAGCTGGAGTGACAGTGGGTAGACTGGGGCAGCTGTTCACCAACCACAGATACTGGCGGCAGCAGCAGCAGCATTCTTTTCATTTAGAAAAGATGAACCGGTGGGGTTAATGGGGTGGGACTGGTTTGGGAAACACCTTCCAAATGTATTTATAGAAAAGAAAGAAATATATATATAATTACAACTTTGTACCTGAGGGGCGGAGCACTGGGTAAGTTATAACTTCCGTCTTCTGTGTCCCATTCCTTCACCTTCATTCCATCTGGTCTGGTCTCAGAATCCATTCTACCTATCTAGTTTTTAGCCTATTTTATCAATCAGTTGTCTAATTCAGTACTTACTAAGTCATTATATGAGGATGTGAATGACAGCATCTAACAACACATGGTCCTTGGCATTAAGAATCGTATAGACCACTAGGAAAAGGGAGATATTTAAGGAATAAATGCATAGAGGTACTTCAGGCATCATGGTGGATGTGGGGTGTGTAAAGGGTAGTGTGGGGCCATGGGAGAGCATGGTGACACTGTCTGGACCTAATTCCCAATCACAGTCTTCAGAGATGGAGTCATTTTTCACCAGCTTTTCCAGATTGTTCCTGAAAGGTGAACAGAAGTCTGGAAGAGCCTGGTGAACTACAACTGCAAACAAAGCTCCTGGGATGGAGTGTTGGGTTGAAACCTTTACGGTGGGCACAGTGATTCCCCTCAGGTACACCTCTGTGTTAGGGCTCAAGACAGGGGAGGGTCACAGACAACATGCAGAGCAGCCTAGTATTAACTAGTAAGGACTGACAACAGGTAACACTATAACTGAGAAGTCTGCACACAGCCTCAGAGATCGAAACTCTGGTCAGAATCCAAGTTTCAAAGCTGGGCAAATGTAGCAGAAGATTGAAGTTTAACTAAATTTAAGACTCTATAATGGTAAAAACCCTTAGTGGTCCAATAATAAAAAAGTTTTTTTAACCAAATAAGGAGCATCCAGGAAGATATTACAAATCTCAAAATTTGTGAAACATTTAGAATATTCTAATTAAAGTCACAAATGAATGAAGATATTCCGTTACCACTACTATTCATACATTCCAAAAAATCCTGGTGATAGACAAAAGTGAAAACAAAAGTCAAGTGGAAAAAAAGATAAAATTGCCCTTGCTGATGTGGCTCAGTTGGTGGGGTGTCCTGTGCACTGAAAGGTTGCTGGTTCCATTCCCAGTCAGGGCACATGCCCAGGTTGCAGACTCTGTCCCCGGTAGGAGGTGTGCCGGAGGCAGCCAATTGATGTTTTACTCTGTTTATGTTTCTCTCCCTCTACCTTCCTCTCTAATAACAACAAAAATATATTTTTAAAAAAGACAAAATTGACACTATTTGTAAGTAACATAATTTCAACATGTCTCCAGAAAATAATACCATACATAAAAATAGCAGCCTCCCTGATACACCAGATAAAGATGCCAGATATAAAAGACTGCACTGAGGCAGGGACACACGTGGACAATAAACATGTAAAAGATGGTCTATCTCACGACTCAGATAACACTCAACTGTTCAGGGATGAGTATTCACTAATTGTATCTATACATCAACCCACATTTCTACCAATAAGGGCATGGGTAGGTAAGTAGGTGTTAGAGGTCGGCTAGTCTAGTAGAACTGTCAGATACACAAAATGTTGGAGAGGGTCTCAGAGCTGTCTCCTGCCCTATGTTCACCCACAAACCTCAACCCTACACATAAACCTCTCATGGTAAGGAACCTGATAAACCAGAAAGTATTCCTAATAATTTAGCCATGTCTGGACTCACCAGGCCACCTAACATCTCTAGAAGAAAGCGTTTCTTAGCAGGACCTTCACTAATTACATTGGAAAGGATATTTAACCCTTTCCCCACTCACCTGAAGATCCTCTTGCCATAGGTGTGTTCATGTTCTCACTGATGCATTAGTACTAGCACATCCTGCCCAGGGTGTGGAGTATGGAAAAGCATGGTTGAGTGGAATTGAGCTGCTCTAGAGGATGATCCTCCCAGGTGTCTTTCTTCTCTTGGAAACCTGGATGTGTTTAACATCTGTGATTAACAAGGGTACTGGATTCCACGTGGGTCATTAATGGAGCACTGGTGGTTACTGAATTTTAGCCAATGTGGTCAGATGAAGCTATTACTCCTCCCTGTGCTGTTATGTCATGCAGTGAGGAGGCTCCAAAAGGACCCGCTGCCCAGGGAGCACAGACTGCACTCCTTCCAGGTTTCACTCACTCTCAGCCTTAGCACTGGAAACTCCTAGACTTCTATTTTTTTAGAAATTTTTAAAATATATATAAAATATATATATATTGATTTCAGAGACAGGAAAGGTGAGGGAGATAGAAACATCAATGAGTCACTGATCGGCTGCCTCCTGCACGCCCCTCACTGGGGATTGAGCCCGAAACCCTGGCATGTGCCCTGACTGGGAATCGAACCCCAATCACCTGGATCCTAGGTCAATGCTCAACTGCTGAGCCATGCCGGTGACTGTCACCACCAGGGCTCAGGGCCACATGAGTATCCACTTTATTCTTTTTTCATTCAGCTTTATTGAGGTATAACTGACAAAACTGCAAGATTAAAATGTAAAGTATACATCATGATGAACTGATGATATATATTGTGAAAGGATTCCTGAATACCTGCTTTATTCTAATGCAGGTGTAGGGGGAAAGCTTTTCTTAGTACAGTAGACAAAATGCAGTTTTTCAGAACAAATGTTTATTTAAGAATTAAGGGAAAACAAAAACATTAAAGCATAGGAATGATACACTGAATACAAGTGTCTTGTTTGGTCTGAAATCTTGAAAGTTACTCTAACTACTTACCTGAGGTAGATCTAGGTTGGCACTGTTTCAAGAGAACCTCCATCCATCCCAGAAGGTACCTTCTAGTTTTGGTTACAGGCTCCCAAGTGGTCCTCCCCAACCTCAGGTTATGCTATAGGAATAATACCAACACCTTTTCCCCATGGTTAAGAGACCTCGGACCTGTTTCATACCCACAAACTTCGGTGTTTGAGGGGTGGTCCATCTTTAATTTACTTGAAGACTAGAGACAATCACCAGTGAGATTAGCTGAAAGAAGGGTCGAGTCATTATGCCAACGAGACCAATTCTGTCCCCTTCCGCAAGTTCTCTCTAATGACTAACAAGTAGCCACAGGACTGATTTCATCACCACCATGCCATACACCCATACTATTTCAGTGTTACAACAATCAAACACATACTAGTGATAGGCATGATTTTCACCAAAGAAAAACAAATACATCTTGTGTTTTTTACCACACTGGGCAACTTTTCATGGAATAAGGGCTATTTATGAAAACAAAAACCTATCAGATTGAATCACCTTCCAGAATCTGTTTGCTAAAAGAAAAAACACCCTAGAATCAGATTCCATACTATCACTATGAGCTATACCCACCAACCCTACGATTATCAAGATCATCAGCCAGTCATCAGGACCACAGCTTAGAGCCACACACAAAATAGCCGCTGGCCACCTCCAGGAGTCCGAGGCCAACACTCCTGAGTTTAAGGATTCGCTATGATCAACCAGACAGACTAGCAACAAAATATTTATTCACCAGTCTAGTCCCAAACACTGCAGGAATCTTAAGTATTTTATTAAATATGTTTTAATCTGAGGGGGGAAAAACCTTCAGAAGTGTCCATTTATAGATTCCTGGATTAATTACAGTACTTCTAGAGAATGTTAAATATAATAATTCTGTTAACCTGGAGCTAAGTGCTTATCCTCAAACCTCTGATGAATTTGGCAACTACTTTTCCCCTCTAGCATTTAGCATCCTACGTTCCAAGCCAAATAAATACCTTATATTGTGGTGATTGCAATCCTTTCCCTGGGATTAAAAAGCATCCTCTCTTTTCATGGCAGAGCTAAAGTAAATGAAAGGCATATCATTATGGGGCTGACTTTGCTATAGGCAGCAGGATAATGGAGTGAAAAGAACACTGGCTTTGGAATCAGGATAGTCAAAACCAAGAAGCACGGTTCCTCCATTAACATTGTTCCATCGTGTGTTACTCGCCTGTGCAAGCCTAACGTTTCTTCCAGTCTTCCCTCAGACATTCAGACATGAGCTGATGAGAATACATTATCATTGGAGGAGATGATACATGAAGCCACAAAACTGTAGATACTAGCAATATCATAACTCATCTTGAAATCTGCATTTCTGAGTTGAAGAGATGAATCTCTAAAGCAGAAAATTCATATACCAGTGATACTCAGATATCTTAGGGAAAGGAAACTTCAAGGGTATGCCTCAACTCACACCAAGCAAAACATTGGGTGTTCTGCTTCTTTATGAGGTTGGCCCTCCAAAGGGGAAACTTGGGAGTTCTGATCCAGGATAACTACTCCCTACTGCTTAGTTCTTTCCACTACCAGCAAGTTTCCCAAGCTACTATCAAAACACCAGTCCCCAGTCTGGCCAAGATTAAAAAAAAAAAAATCAAGAGATAAAGTCAGTACTCTCCCCAACGGTAACACATGCCACACCATCTATCACACGGGCACAGTCCTTTCCTTTATTGGATTTCCAAATGTTAAAAAGAGGAAGTAAAGCAATCATCAACTAAGTGGTTCAGATAAAAAAGCATCTTCACCTGAGTTTTCCATCAGCCTGCTCTGACCTGCCCAAGCTCCTCCCACAACACACTTCTGGGTATCTAACAACTGTTTTCATACTGACTCATTAAAGTCACTGCCACCCCATGGGTCAGTTAACTATGAGCACGGTTATTCTCATACCTATTATATGTACACAGTCCATGACTAGATCTCTCACCAGAGCAAAATTCTCTGCAGAGTAGGTTCTTTGGAGCCCAAAGGTAGAGGTTTCTAGCAAGGCTTTATTCAGACTCAAGATATTTACGGTTTTTTTCACTTGTGTGAGTTCCCTGGTGTACCAAAGGAGCTGATCATTGACAGCTTTTCTCACTCAGAGATTTCATAAGGTCTCTTCTTAGACTGTTTTGTTGTTGCAAACCCAAGAAGACTCTCCATCTAATGCTTTTGCCACATTCAAGACAAATGCCTAAAATTTTACCAATATGGCTTCTTTGATGGGTAAGAAAGTCATAGTTCTGTGGGAAGCTTTTTCCACACTTTGCTGGGGTTTCTCCCATGTGGGCTTTCTGACATCCAGTGAGCTGTGCATAGTGTCTGAAGCACTGTTCACACCAATGGCATTGTCCTCTGGTGCGAATTTTCTGGGATGGAGAGGAGTAAGCATTGCTAGGAAGCTCTCTCACTCTCTTGCATCTACAAGGTTCCCCACTAGTACGAATCTTCTTGTGGGTGATGAGATATGAGCTCAGACTAAAGGTTTCCAAACCTGAAGGCCTTTGAAGGTTTCTCATTGGAGTGACTGATAGGTGTTGTTAGGTTGGCTCTTTGGGTAAACCATTTCCCAACTTCCTACAACCGCAGATTCTCTGGTCCCCACTGAAGTCTGAGCTCTTAGAAAAGTCTAAGATTAGCCTAGAGTTCATCTAAATGAGTTCTCTGATTCTTAAGTACTTTTTTTATGTTGTTATAACTTCTTGTCTGGCCAAGACGTCTGTGAGGCTTCTGACGCATGGGAAGGGCTGAGGTCAAGCCCTTTCTCAGCCACATTACAGATATATGGTTTTTCACCAATGTGGACTGTCTGATGTTGAAGGAGGGCTGAGCTCTGGCAGAAGCCTTTATCGCACACACTGTATTGATAATGCAGCTCCTCTGTTTGAGTTCTCATTTTTGGTTGGGCAACAAAGCCCATGCCTAGGAGAAAGCCACTCTCACATGCAGACCACTGACGTGGTTTCTCTTCCATGTGAATTCTTTGATGCACAATAAGGTCTGAGCCACAGCTGAAACTTTTCTCATACTCAAGGCATTTAAAAGTGTGCGTGTGAGTTGCCTGGTGCCTGATTAGGTTGGCACTCCGAGTAAAACTTCTCATACATTCCAAACATTTATAGGGCTTCTCCCCTGTGTGGACTCTCTGGTGGACAATAAGGTCTGATTTCTGGCCAAAGCACTTCTCACAGGCGCCACATTTATAGGGCTTCTCCCCAGTATGAACTCTTTTATGAACAATGAAGGCTGAACGGTGTCGGTAACTTTTCTCACACTTATTACATTTGTAGGGCCTTTCGCCAGTGTGAGTTCTCTGGTGGCTAATGAGATCCGATTTCCCACTAAAAGCTTTTTCACACTCCAGACACTTAAATGGTTTCTCACCGGTGTGAGTTCTTCGGTGCCGAATGAGGTTTGTACTTCGACTGAAGCATTTATCACACTCACTGCACAGATACGGTTTCTCACCTGTGTGGCTTCGCTGGTGGACAAGCAGATCAGAGCTCTGTCCAAAATTCTTGCCACAAATGTCACATGTATAGAACTTTTTACCTGCGTGTGTTCTCTGGTGTCCTGAAAGGGCTAAGTGGTGCCAGAAGCTCTTCTCACATTTGCTACATTTATAAGGTTTCTCATAACTGTGGACCCTCTGGTGTGAAATGAGATCTGAGCGCTGGATGAAGGTTCTTTCACACATATCACACTGATGAGGTTTCTCCCCAGTGTGGGTTCTCTCACACATAATAAGAGCTAAGTTCTCACAGAAGTTTTGCTTGCGTTCAAGGCACTGGTATATTTGATCATCTATTTGAGCAATCTCATGTACATGAATGAAAATCTTTTGACCCTTCTCAGGGCACGCATGATATAATTTCCTTCTCTGAGTTCTCTGATTAGCTCTCTCTTCTGAAGTGCACATTTCTATGGCTCTCTCCTAGGGAGTTTTCCACTGGTCATCTTGACCCATCATTTTCTTCATTGTTGTTTTCCAGATAAGAACTTGAAAGATACACTTGTTTTAGATCTTTGAGTCATGAGCTGTTGGTCTCTACAAGTTTCCAACATCATATACACTACCAGTTCCTTACTCGGTATTTCCAACACTGTGAGACAAAGGAGAAATATTATTTATATTCCTATAACTAAGAAAATAATGCTCAAAGTTAAAAATCACTGTAGGAAAGACAGAAATTCTGCATCAGGGTCCATAAATACCCTCGGTTTTGCAGGGGCTGAAATCAGTTCGTTTCTCTCTTTGCCAGTATCAAACCAATCAGCAACATATATGGAAAGTACTAGGAATTATTATTTCTTCCACAACCTGGGTGATCTCAAACCTAGGTTCTTCCCGTCACTCTGGCTGAGTAGTGCCCTGGCATTCCCTGACCCCTTCACTGTTGCTTTTCTCCACAGTACTTGTCATCTAATACAGTGCACAGGAAATCCACGGATTTGCTGTCTACGGCCAGAATATGGCATGATGTCTGTTTTGATTGCTGCTCTTTTCTTAATATACAGAGCAGCTCAGGCATACAGTTGGTGCTTAATAAGCAGCTTATTGCAGTCCTACTTGTGTCCTTGTCTGGTACAGGACCAAGGCTGAATGCCATAAGGTGGGAGCTGGTCTGATGAGATACGGTTTAGAAGAAAGAAGGGCCATTTCAAAAGGCTGAGGAAATGGAACTCACCTAGAATGTGAATGAAGGAAAAGCAGCATTTACTTCCTGGTCCTGAGGATGTGATTTCTCAAGGAAGATTGCAACCGCATTCTATAAAACACAGGACAAGAAAAGGAAAAACAGTCACAAATGAGAGGACTTAGCACTACATCATTTCACTCAAACCACCCGAAAACGGGGACAGTTTTCTTAACAAGAGCAGGTGGGTTTTCTTACGCAATCCCTGTCATCCCACATGACTTTGGAGGAAATGGACAATAAAGAACCTACAAACCATCCTTGGGGACGTAGTGGCACTGCAGGGAAGGGCCCCTAACACTAAGCTCGCTGATGAAGCATGAGCTTCCTCCAGGAGACAAGCTGCCCTGGTCTGAAGTACATCAGGAACCACAGTGTCCCCAGGGAGGACACCCCTCCACACCTTCCCTGTAGGGCCCGCCGTCGCCACCACTCTCGTCATTCACAATTTACAAGACGAGGCTGACTTATATTTCAGCCACAAACAACTCAGGACACATTGACTATGGGCATGAGAGGTTAGACACCAGGCCTGTCCACTGCTTTCTTCCCTCAGCAGCTCTAACCTGCCTGCTCCAGGTCACCAGACTTTCCGTTTCCTCAGCAACCTTTCTGCTATTGAGGACCAGAAGCAAACACGGAGCCGCTCAGATGCAGAGAGCACAGGGGACATACACTTAGCCCACAGCCGCCACTAATAACATGACATGTTTCATGGTTCTGATTCCAGGAAAGATGGCGTGAACACATGCCAGCTGTCTCTCCCATAAAACACAACTCCGAACTCCGCACCAGATCATGGGACCACCACCTCACCTGCAGCGAGTTCACTATTTCTTTGTCCCCTCTGTATCCCCTGGCCTGAACTTGATACAGGTTGAATCACAGAAGTCAAGGAAAATGTAAAATGTAATTCAGTTGGGATTTTTCAGAAAACCTATGGGTTTCCATGCCAGTAATTTAAGACTGACTTCAGTCAGTGGACAGAAAACAAAACGGGGCTACCTGTGGCAGAATCGATCAAAGGTTCACTGTCAAAAAGAGAAAACCCACTCTAAGTACAAAAAAAATTTTAAGAGTTCTGATAAAAGCAGGATACAAGGAAGAGACTTAGCGTGCACATAGAAGAGGCAGCCTGGAACAACAATTCTTAGGAAAGAGGAGAGTAAAAAGGAAGGGGAGGAACCTTGTGGACCTCACAGGCAAGGAGAAAAGGAACAAAGGGAAATTTAAGGTCCTTCAACGTGGAGAAAATTTTAAAATGCACAATCTATCTCCCCAGTATCTTCTAAAAATACCATCCAGTTTTAAAACAAAACTTGACCACAGTGGCAAAGTGATAATGTGCTGCTGAATTAGCAACCTTGTAAAACATTTTATGTTCTATAAAATAAAAATAATTCAACTAAAAACTGGGAGAAGGGGAAGAAAACTGAAATAACCTCACTGATTACTGCATTAATGGAAGGCAGGAGTGAAGAGCACTATTAAAAACTGGGAAACCAGATAATTAAAGGTTCAATAAGAAAACGGGACTAGCCCGGCCAGGCGTGGCTCAGCAGTTAAGCATGGATTGGAGTTCAATTCCCAGTCAGGGCACATGCAGGGGGCGTGTGGAAGGCAGCTGATCATGACTCTCATCATTGATGCTTCTTTCTCTCTCTCTCCCTCCCTCTCTCTGAAATCAATAAAGATATGTATTTTAAAAAATGGGACTAGAGGCATTTAAAAAGGTCTAAGTATACAAAGGTAGCCATTATAACAAAAATCAAACATTCTGAAAATTTTTTTAAATGAAAGAGCAATGAAAACACATCATGTAGAAGAAAGGACACAGGTTACGTAACACCGATGACTAAACCTGAAGAGTGTGAACCACAGCCCACTACCAGTATCAGTGTGAAAATTACACAAAAGTAGCAAGCACACTCTTTTACCCTGTTGCTTTTACAATTTACTGTTTATCCTGGAAATCATTCTACATCAATTGGTAAAGATTTTCTTTATTCTCTTTCACAGCTGCAAAATATCCATTATATGTGGATATACCAAGTTTATTCAACCACTTTCGTACACATGGGCATTTCAGTTGTTTTAAATACTTTCAAACTACAAGCACTGCTACGATGAGTAACCTTATGCATGGGTATCTTCAGAGTGAATTTCTAGAACACGGATTGCTGAGTCAGAAATAAATGCATATCTGTGTGAACAGAGAAACAGAATCATAAAGCAAACACAGTAAAATGTTAACATTTAGGGACTATGGACAAAGGGTGTATGGACATTCTTTGTACTATTTAACAACATTTTTGTACGTCTCAAATGATTTTAAAATTAAAAGGTTGTGTTTTTTTTTTAAAGAACATGGTATCTGAGAGTTGGCACACTGTGCTAGTTAAAATTAAATGTTCAAGCTCTGAAATTAGATTTTGGTTCAAGTTCCCACTACGCTCCTCTGTAGCTGTGAGAACTTGGGTAGTGACTTAAAGTCCTTAGGCTTCCATTTCCCTTTTGATAAAGTAGGTGAGCTATGATTACATGCCTCAAGGAGTTGCTGTGAGAACTGAGACAGTGTCAGTTAAGGACTCAGCTCAATGTCTGGGTCTCAACAAGTGCTCAATAAATGAAAGGTTCTATTATTTCCTTAATTCCTTCTTTACATGCACAAAAAACAGTCGTTGAGCCCATCCTCTGTGCCTGCATCTTGCATAAAGCCTTGTTTAAAATCCATTTAAAATAATTAACCAAATAAATAATAAAGTAACTCAGCAAATTAATGATTTATAAAAAGATTATGCAAAAACAGTTATGGAGAAATGTCAGGAGGAAAAGGAAGAATCCAGAATCGCAACTAAGTAAAAGATATGCAGGCATCTAGACAAATAACTAATATAAGATGGTGGGTTTATGGGAATTTTGCCTTTTAAAATGTGTATTATTGTTAAGGTCGAAAGGAGAATAGAGTAGAGATAAAGGATTCTGAGCTTGGTCACAGACTGTAAATGAGTGAGTATTTCCTAAAGTTATCAGCCTAGGGTATTGTATTTGCCCTAAGTAGCCAACAACTGTGGGGCACTAAGAAGAAAAAAAATTGTTAAACAAGGAAATAATTTTCTTATCCATATCTAAGTCTACTTGTTCATAACACTTTCCTAGTTCAAAATACTATAATTGTCTCCTATCACACAAAATAAACACAAAATTTTCACAGCTCTGTGTAACGTGGCACCTCCACCTACCTCCAGCCTCCCAGGATACCTGGAACATTTGCACTGCTTCCTTCTGCCTACAATGCTCTTCCCCCGGGGGTTGCCTGATCCTTTATTTGACTCAAGTGTTGGACTGAAAATTACTTCCTCAAAAAGCAGCACACCCTGATGACTTTATCTAACACAGCCATGCCCCACTTTGTGGTATATATTTTATGTTCCTTAATTTGTTTCTCTCTCCTACTAGACTATAACTTCCACTAGGGTTAGGACTAAGTCTTTGTTCACTGCAGTGTCCCTAGCACCTGGAATACATTAGCTGACTGAATGAGAGTGCGAGTGCATAAATACCAGAACCAAAAAGGGCCATCGTCCTCCTTGGAGGCCCAGCAGCAACGCAACCAGCTAGGCTAGGAGCCCTGGCTGGTTCTTCTGGCAAACCTGAGTGCATCAATCCTTCAAGTCTTAGCTCCAGGAAGCCCTCCTGTAGGAAGAGACTGGTTCTCTCCTCCACTGTGAGGGTCAGAGTGCACAGAATGAACAGGCAGGCAATAAAAGTCCAAGCACACAAGCTGAGTAAAGAACTTCAAAGCTCAAGGTTATCTTTACAGTTAAAGGCTGTATGGGACAAGCAGACAAGTCCATAAAGCAATATCTAAAAAATAGATAATTCTTACCTTATCAGGCCCTAGATTAGGGATTATCATACCTATTTTTCATTGATTACATGGACTGTCTCATTTAATCTTCCCAAGAACTTTGTAAAGTTGATGTTATTACCAATGTTTGCACCTTACAGATAGAAAGCCTGATGCTTAGGGCAGTTAAATAACTACCTAAGATGTCACAGCTAGTAAGTAGCAGAGCCAGGATTTAAACTGCCATCTTCTGACTCCTGAGCCTACCTAAGCATTGACCATAATGCCTTTTGGGGGGCTCAAATCAATCAAGAAGCAATTACTATAAGCCTATTGTGAATATGCATGTTGGAATGTAGTATAAAATACACTTAAATTGGTAGGATAGGACCCAGTTATATCACTCTGCTATCCCACAAGCTAAAAAAGGATCATTCCCCTTTTCCATGTATCTTATCCCATTCCTTCCTGTCCTCCCCAGGTCCCCGTTTTCTCCCCCTCCAAAATGCACTCCACTTATATAGAAACATACAGCCTTGTATGCCACTTGCCATAACAAACACTCAAGACTGTCTTCCTTTTGGCTCCAAAAGGTCTCTAGTACATAACTATTCACAACATACAATTCTTCCCTGTCCTAGAGAAAAAACACACACCCAATAATGTAGAAATTTATAATTTTTCTGGAGCTGGACATCTACATATTGGTTCTTTTCTCCAGTCTGGTCAGCATCTTTCAACCAGATCCTACCTCTTCCTACCTTTGCTTCCTTCTGTTTCTCCTGCAAGAAGTACCTGCCCCTGGTAGCCATGGTTCCTTCCCAACCAGCTCAAGACAAAATATCAAGAATCCTCCTGGATAATAACTAACTTCATCACAAAGCCCCGAGTCCTGTTTTGCTTAACTTTTGTCCTTCTGCTAATTGTTTTTTGTCTGTATTATGTCAACCTCTAAGGTCAAGGACCCAATCTCCTACCACTGGTAAGTGTGCATAACAAAGTTACATATAATGCAAGTTTCCAAAAATGGCTACGGCGTGATTAAATCAACCGGGTTCTCCCGCATCTGATTCGAATGCAACACAACTAATCTCTGCATTAAAGAGGGGGAGGGGGCGCCACCGAACGTCCTGGGGCTCCTTCCCCAGCACGAACGGCGCAGGTCGCCGAGAAAAGCGCCGGCCGCGCTCTCGGCGGGACCCACCGCGCGGGGCGGCTCTTCTTTCAACTTTCCATTGACCGCCTTTCAGTCGGGCCCGCGGTCCCGGAGCGCGAGGGCGGGCG